ATGGGGGTGGGTACCCGGTGCTGTGTGGGGTACAGCAGTGTTGGGGTATCCTGTGCTGTGTCGGGTACCATCGAAGTACAAACATAAGAATGGCCAGGCTGGGGCAGCCCAGTGTCCGGTGCCTGGCAGGGGCCTGGGCCAGGGCAACAGAGCAGGGCCAGGAGCATCCAGCCCCTGGCTGCCAGTCAGCGGCTCAGGGACAGCGTGTGCCTGGCCCCTCCTCCAGGAACTTAGCTCGTTCTTTGAACCCTGTTACACTTTTGGCCCCCACCACATCCTCTGGCGGTGAGTTCCCCAGGCTGGCTGTGCACTGAGTCCATCCTTCTGTTTGTCTGAAACCTGCTGTCTGGTAATTTCCCTGGATGCCCTTGGCCCGTGTTAGGTGAAGGGGTAAATAACACCCCCCAGTCACTCCCTCCACCCCAGCCAGGCTTTTAGCGCCCTCTGGCCTACCCCCTCAATCCCTCTTTTCCAAGCTGAACAGTCCCAGGCCTTTGACTCTCTCCTTGTCCCCTGTTCCCTTCCCTGCACCTCGCCCAGGTCTCTGCTCGGCGCTGGGTCTGGGTCTGCAGGCAGGCAGTGTCCTCGGGGCAGTGTCCCCAGGCGGTGTCTGTCATGGAGTCACCGGGTGATGCTCTGGAACTACTCCCTATGAAGCCAGCCAGGACTCTGGGGGAGTCTCCTCTCTCTGAGCAGACTGGCTCCAGGGCAAGAAACTTCGACCTTCTCGGAGCATTCAGCATCCCCTTCCACCCCATGCGCTTCCCGCAGCGAGTCCGCCTGGGCGGGGCTCCTGGGGAAGCCAGCGGGCCCTGCACCCCACCTCTTGCAGTCAGCAGTGACTCGCAGCCAGCCAGTAAAACAGGTTTATTATTCGCGTAGAACAGAACTTGTTAGCACAGAAATCAGTGACTTTCAGCCAAATCCATTTTGGAAGTCTTGGGCCAGATGCCCTGGATTCCCCCTCTTCCAGCCCCCCAAGTACACTCCCAGCTTCCAGCGACCCGACCTCAGACACCCCCGTTGCTCCTCCTTGTCTTTGTCTCGCTTCCGGGCCAAAGAGTCACCTGGTTGCATCCCCCTCCTGGTCTCAGGTTAGGAAGGGCACCGGTCATAGTAGGCAGCTGGAGCAGCTTCACCTGCCCAGAGGTTCTCAGCCAAAGTCATACACCCCTATTCCCACCACCGAGGTATTGGTGCAGCACACAAGGAAACTGAGGCACACACAGTATTCATGCAAAACAGTAAAACTCACATTGGCTCACATAGAACATAACAAGGGAAAATTCCCACTTGGAGACGATGTCCCCGGGCGGTGTCCGGGCCAGGTGCACCCGGGGTTCATACAGCACCGGCGTTACAAGATTTTCTCTCAGATGATCTGTCCCTGTCCCAAGGGCTCCTAGTTTTCGCCTGAGGCGTTTTCGCCTGCCACTGCGCGGTGCGGGGATGTAGCAGAGAATGGCCCATGCGGATGCCTGGCTCTTGCTCAATCAAATGGGATTATTTAGAGTTGGATACCACAGCATGTTGGGGTAATATGCGCTTTGAGGGGTACCATGAGGGGCTCGGGGTACCCAGTGCTGTGTGGGGTACTGCAGGGGTGGGGTACAGTGGGGTGCAGTATGGGGTGCAGCGGGGGTGGGGAACAGTGGGGTGCTGTGTGAGGCATACTGGGGTACAGTGGGGACAGCGGGGTGGGGTGCTGTGTGGGGTACAGTGGGGATGGGGTACAGTGGGGTGCTGTGGGGTGCAGCGGGGGTGGGGTGCTGTGTGGGGCACAGCAGGGGTGGGATACAGTGGGGTGCTCTCTGGGACACACTGGGGGACAGTGGGGACAGCGCGGGTGGGGTTCTGTGTGGGGTACAGCAGGGGTGAGATGCAGTGGGGTGCTGTGTGGGGCACACTGGGGGACAGTGGGGACAGCAGGGTACGGTGCTCTGTGGGGTACAGTGGGGGTGAGGTGCTGTGTGGGGTACTGTGGTGGGCACACTGGGGGACAGTGGGGTGAGTTACAGTGGGGTGTTGTATGGGGTGCACCAGGGGTGCGGTGCTTTGTGGAGTACAGTAGGGGTGGGGTGCTGTGTGGGGTGCAGCAGGGGTGGGGTGCAGTGGAGTGCTGTGTGGGGCACACTGGGGGACAGTGGGGACAGGGATGGGTGCTGTGGGGTACAGCAGGGGTGGGGTACAGTGGGGTCCTGTGTGAGGCACAGTGGGGTGCTGTGGGGTGCTGTGTGGGTTGCAGCAGGGGTGGGGTACAATAGGGTGCTGTGTGGGGCACACTGGGGTTCAGTGGGGTGTCCTTTCCCCTCAGGCTGTCCATCACCCGAGCCCATTTCCCCAAGCTGGCTGAATGCGCCCACTTCCACTACGAGGCCGTGGACTTTGGACACATCCAGGTGAGCGACCGCCATGCCTCGCCCGGGGAGCCCCAGTCCCAGATGCCTGGGTCCCCCCCCCCAGGGATCCCCCCTCCTGTACCCCCTGCCACCCGTAGAGCCCTCTTCCCAGACTCCCGGGCTCCATCTGGGAAATCCTCTTCCCAGGTGCTTTCTGGGTGAGGATGGCTGATCACCCGGATGCTTGGGTCCAATTTGGGGGGCTTTTCTGATTGCCTGGGTCCCATGCACAGGGACAGGTGGGGGTCATCTCCCAGACAGCTGGGCCCTTGGGGAGGTGGGCGCGTCTCGTGGCCGCGGGGCTCCTGCTGGATCAGGAACTGAGGAGGGCTGGCCAGACATTGGGTCCCAATGGGGATCAGATGCGGGTTTGGGGACTTGAACTCCCGGACACTTGGGTTCTCTCCTGGGGTGAGAGACGACATTCAGGGGATCTGGGCTGAGCCTGCACCAAGTGATGCCTGGGTCCCACAGGGGCACCTCTCACCCGCTGTGTGCCCACAGCTCCTGCTGGCCTCCGAGCAAGGGGAGGGGCTGCCCGGTACCCTGGGGGACAGGGAGCTGCTCTTCATCGTCCAGGTCACCTGCCGGGTGAGTGGGTCCCCCCCAACCCTCCCATTCCCAATCTTCCCCAGGGCCCCCCTTCCTGGCCCCCCCATTCCCGACCCAGGTCCCTCCTCTCCAGCTGGGGTCCCCTCTGCCATGCCAACTACTGTGGAGGAGAGGGGACCCCTGAACCCCCAGACCTGCCCCCTCCCCTTTCCCCTGCAGTCCTCCCTTGGTCCATCCTCTTGTGCCCCACAGTGGCACCCCCACACTGTGCCACTGCTCCCCACTTTCCTTCTTTAGACCCCCCCAGATCCACCCCCCTCTCCGTCCTCAGCTGCCCCCGCCCCCCCCCCCCCCCCCCCCCCCGGTTCCGCCCCCCCCCCCCCCTCGAGCACCGACACCCCTCCCCTGCTGACATCCCGCTTTGCCTCCTGGCCCCCAGGGGAAGACATGGCCTGTTCACCGCAGCTACGAGGAGTTCTGCAGGCTGGACGGGCACCTGCACTGCTGCATCTTCGACCGCCGCTTCTCCCAGCTGCCCGAGCTGCCACCGCCCTGCCAGGCCCGGGGACAGGCTGAGGTGAGTCATGGGGGGTGCTGGGCAGAGCTTGTGGGAGATGCTGTGCGGCTGTTCCCGGGCTGCCCCACCCCAGAGATGGCTGCATTTCAGTACCAGGCAAGCCGTCCCCGGAAAGCATTATGTGCAGCTGTTTCCCAGCTGCCCCGCCCCAAAGATGGCTGAATCTCAGCACCAGGCAAGCCGTCACTGTGGGACAGACATGAGGGGGGTAGTTGCTAGGCCCTGATTCTGCTCCTGCCTCCCAGATGCTGGCCCCTGTCCTGCGGCAGTACCTGGAGAAGCTCTCGGCCATTGTGGACAGCAACATTAACTGCGGGCCTGTCCTCACCTGGATGGAGGTGAGATGGGGTGTTGGGGGGAGGGGGCAGAAACAGTAGGAGCTGTTCAGCACGGGCCCCTTCCCCCCCCCCCCCGTCAGACCCATGGGCCCATCCCCCCCAACATCCCCCCCCCCCCAATCAGACCCATGAGCCCGTCCAGCCCTGCATCTACCCCCGCTTCAGACCCACAGCCCCTCCCCCCCTCCCCCCTGCCAATCATACTTACAGTCCCCCAGCCCTATATCCCCCCATCAGACCTATAGCCCATCCAGCCCAGTATCCACCCCATCCCTGATCACCTACAGCCCCCTCCCCCAGATCAGACCCACGCCCCATCCAGGCTGCCCCTTGCCACGTGTTCACTGTTGCACCTCCTCTGTTGCAGATCGATAATCATGGCAACCGGCTGCTGGTGAACGAGGAGGCCTCGATCAATGTCCCGGCCATTGCGGCCGCCCACGTCATCAAGCGCTACGCGGCCCAGGCCCCTGACGAGCTGTCCTTCGAGGTGGGGTGTGGGGGGGCCCCAGAGCCCCCTCCACCTCCGGCTGGGGCACTGTCCTGGGGACGCTCACAGCGTTGGAGCCCCCTCCAGCTGGGGCACTGTCCTGGGGAAGCTCACAGCCCCAGAGCCCCCTCTCCCCAGATGGGGCACTGTCCTGGGGAAGCTCACAG